ATGGATGGGTGGGTGGATAGGTGGGTGGGTGGATGGGTGGATGGATGGATGGATGGATGGATGAATGGATGGATGGATGGATGGATGGAAGGAAAGACAGATGGGCCCCTGGGGAAAACTGAGAACCTGAATGCTGGCAATATAACATGATGGTGCCACAGCACAGGCTCCGGAGAAGGCCAAGATTTAGAGCCTGACAGGACCAGCTGTGAGCCCAGGCTCTAAACCTCAGTTCCCTCCACTGTAAAATGGGGCTATAAAGCATGCCTACATCATAGGGCTGTAGGGAAAACAAAGTGGTTGTCTTCCTCATCATCCTCATCCAAGTTCTGCACTGGGTAATCCTACACAGGTCTTGTCCTGACCCTTGGGCCTCAGTCTCCATGTCTATAGGACAAGGGAACTGACCAGACTTGGAGATAGCACAGGTGCTAACAACATGCTAAGAATTCTACAGCTCTGTGCTGCTGTTTCAGGTTGGCCCGGTTTTAAGACCCTATCCTTCCTTAGGACCCAGGACCTTTCGTTTTAAGCTTCTCCTTCCCACCCTTTCTTGCACCTGCCTGTCTTCAGGTTCTGATCTAAATAAATCACAGCTTAAGGATTCTCCTAGTAGAATATCTCGTACGTGTTAATCACTGGAACCCTCTTTCTATCATGATGTGCTATTCACTATAAGCAACTTAGAATAGGAGGACCCAACTGGCTGGGGAAGAGATGGTGACAAGAAGCCACACAGCCCCTTCCTCTAGCCCCATCTGGATAACCCCGGGGGCCCCTCAGGCCTGCTCATACCCCTCCCCACACATGAAGTGTAGGGCCGGCTTCCACTCATCCCAGGAGAATCCCAACTGCCAGGCCACGTGGTACAGATGAAGCTGGACAGGTTTCTAAGCTGACCACCAGTCAGTTTCCAAGAATCCCCCAAAGGCCATCTGTAGCTAAGGGACAAAGCCCCAAACTCTGACAACTGGCAAATGTGGCTGCCACGAGTTTTGAACCACTGTGGGCCCCACAGAGGACAGGAAAGGGCTGTTCTTGTCCAAACCTTTCAGGTTACTAATTCACACCAACAATAAAAACTAGTATTTATTGAGCATGTACTATATGCCAAATGCTGTATAGCACTATCTCACTTGAGTCTCTCAATCTATGAAGCTCTTTATTATCCCCACTTTATAGCCAAGGTTCAGAAGCGTTAGATAGACCCACTTGCCCAAGGTCATGTAGTTTATGAAAGGCCCAGCTGGGTTTGACCCCAGGGCACCCGACCCCAGGGGCTTTGCTGTTAACCATTAGGCCATGCCGCTCTGGACCCTTCCAGACTGGAAGGGAGGGTGGAGACAAATCCAGAATCCCATCAAGGGTGAAGAGATCGGGACCAGGGGAATGAACGCAGTTCAACGCCAAGATGGAAGGCTCCAGCCAGCTGGCCCCAGGCAGATCCCTTTATTACATAAACCTGGCTCCACACAGCTCCGGCCTCTCCCCAGCCTCCCACCCCCTGTCCCCTAGTGCCTGACTCAGGACTCTGGACAGCTGTTCACCTACTTTGTGGGGGAAACAGCAAGCTCGGAAAATATGACATTTGTACAAAATGTTGCCGGGCAGCAGAAGTCTCTTCCGGGCACGGCCTTCCCTTCCCAGGAGCCCAATCGCTGCCTAGTGGCCAGGTCAGGCCACAGAGACTCTCCGAGGGCCCGGCTGCCTGCCCCAGCCCAGGGGCCGGGAGTGGAGGGGGGGAGGGGAGGCTATATTCAGAGGCGTGTGGCTGCTTGACAAACAGATGTGGGAAAGGTTTCAATTTCCCTGGGCGGCTGTGGGGCCAGACCACCGCCGCCTGGCCCCCTGGACAGCTCCTCAGGGACAGGAGGGAAAGCGGGATCTCACAGAAAGGGGAGGGTGGGATCCCAGGCTTGGGCCACAATGGTGTGGCCTTCGTGCTTCCTCTCAGCAATTCTTGGAGCACCAATTGGATAGACGGGGACACCTGAGGCTTACTGAGCCTAAGTGACTCACTTAAATCCTGCTCTGGATACGGACACAGGATCAACCTTCCACATGTCTGTGCTGTGCCCTTCCTAACCCTCACGAAACTTCCAATTCTTTCAAGTCAAAAGAGAATTTGCCAACAATCGGCTTCATTCCACTGATGGGAAGACTGAGGCACTGAGTTCCAATTAGGGTCACGGATGTCTCCCACCCCTGAGTTCTCAGGCCCCTTCCGTCTGCCTTTGTCTTCCCCTGGACAAAGAGAAGAGAGAGTTACCTTCAGGAGCTCCTTGGGTGGAGGCCAGGTGACAGGCAAACGAGACCAAGATCCAGGAGAAGAGAAACCCCCTAGAGACCGGGAGACACAAGCAGACACGGCATCAGCTTCCCCTCCTCGCGCCCAGATCCGGCCAGGGAGCCAAGGCAGACTGCCCAGCCCCAGTCCCACCCCAGTCCCGCCCCCAGGAGGCGGGAGGCCAGGCACAGGCTCTGGGACCCCCTCAGAGCAGCCCGAACTACCAGGCCTCCAGGCATAGCCTCCCAGTCAGGACCCGCTCGCAGGGCCAAACACAACCCCACTCTCCACAGATACGCCAAGGTCATCAGGAGGGAAGTGATAGGCAGGAAGCCCTGCCCTGGGCATCCGGATCCAGGATCTGGCTCAAAATGCGACGCTGACTCCTGGGCAACCGGGAGCCACCCCTGCCCTTCGCTGGGCCTCAGTCTTCCCATCTGTACTATGGTCTTATGATCTTGAAACCCTTCCTGAAGTCCCAGCCAATGGGCAGCAGGGCCAGGGCTGAAAGGTCAGTGGCAAGGCCAGTCAGGCCTGCATGGGTGCCCAATCTCCTCCCGGGCAGGAGAGAGACCCCTTAACCACAGTCAGTGCTGTGCTGAGGCAGCTGCCTGCTTGGCTGCATGCCAATGGACAGTGGGAGGAGAGAAAACAGAGGAGATGGCGGGGAGACAGGCAACCCGAGTACAAACCCAGACCCATGGCTTATTAGCCGTGTGACCTCAGAGGAGACACGCAACCTCCCAGAGCCTGCCTCGTTCCCTGCAGCATGGCTGACATTCCCTATCCTGCAGACCAGGCGTGAGGATTGAGTAAGGTCACACACATTAAGGGCTCGGCCTGGTGCCAGCCTCAAAGATGCGTCCTGGACGGTTTCTGCCATCTCTCCACTCTGGGCCCAGGAAGGGTTAAAGATCTGCTCAGTGGCTCTTGCCAAGACGGGCAAAGGCAACGATCCAATTTCACCTTCCTGTGGGAGCAGCCACCGGCGACACCCGAAGCCACCCAGGGCATCTGATCCCCAGGCGGGCAGAGGGGAGGGCAGCACGTGGCCAGGGAGCTGCGCCAGGCGGGTGGCGAGAGCTAAGGCTGAGACGGACGGGCCCAAAAGGCATCTTCAAGAGGAGAGCTAGGGCAGCGTACTCCCGGGGAATCACACCATCTAGGAACCCTGTCTGCTGGGGTTGGTGTCTCCCCGGGTGCCCTGGAGGACAAGCACACACCCTCTGTCGGCTGCCCTACCTCCCAACTTAAAAGCAATCGTGATCAACGGCAGTCAGGATGCAGGTGCTGGCGGTTACCCACTCACGGCCATCCCTCCTTCCCACTGGTTCCCTCAGGCATGGACTTCAGGGGATCCTGGATGAGTCTGGGTAAGCCTAAGCCACCCTGAGAGTTTTCTCCGCTGTGCCAGTGACTGGAGGAGGTAGGCATATATGATCCAAATATGGCCAATGAGGTGTGAGAAACACCCGCTAGGGTCCCTGGAAAGCATGTCAAAAAGACAGAGAGAGTTTTCCTCCAATTTCTATATATGCTGTTGAGTGAGGACACACTGCTTGGAGGCGCTGCAGTCGTTTTGTGCACGTGAGGTAACAAGCCCCACGAGCACAGGAGGATGGCAGAATAGAAAAAAGGTGAACGTCTGACAACCCGGCTGAGATGCTGAATGAGCCAACCCTAGCCCTGCTGCTCTTCCTCGGATATGGGAAGTGATAACTCCCCTTCTTGTTTAGGTCACGTTGAGTTGGGTCTTCAGCTGATGGCAACATAAAGCAACCTAGCTCAAACAGCACTCGGGTGCTGGCAATGGTCCCTTAAAGGCCTCCTCCAGCTCCTGGGCCTTTGCACATGCTATTCCCACCATCTTGACACTCTGCCGGGTCAGCTCCTGCACATCATTAGGTCCCAGGCCATGCATGTGCCTCACCACAGTGGGGGCATCACATGTGTGGTCACTGTCTCTATTTCCCTTCCTAGACTAAGACCCTGAAGGGCAAGTACGCCTGTTTTGATCACTCGTTTTTTCTCCTTTTGAGATGGGTCTCACTATGTTGTCCAGGCTGGACTGGAACTCTTGAGCTCAAGGAATCCCTCAGAGTAGCTGAGACTACAGGCATGCCCCACTGTTCCCAGCGTGTTCGCTTGTATATTCCCAGCATGTAGTAAGTGGCCACTGTGTTTCTGCAAGATGAAGAAATCTTACTTGGGATTCCAGGACTCTGGACTTCCTCAGCCCTAACTTTTTCCAGGGTTGCTCTTAGACCATCCTTGTCCCTACTCAGCCTCTCCAATCTGCTGCCACCGCTGTGAGAACACCCCCAGCTAACCACGGGCAGCAACTAAATGTCAGAATGTCAGCTGCCCTGGGGCTGCCAGGAGAGAAGGGTAGGGCTAACCCTTCCAGCATGACCTGCCCACTTCAAGCAAACAGCAGTATCATCCACCCTGGAAAGAAATAACAGACAACTTTGATTCCTTGAACAAATGGAGAATAGAGGCTGGAGGAAGACAGGTACTCTCGCACCGGGCAGGCATGGGGTTCATAATTCTTCGGCACTATTTCCCACACCCACCAGGGACACACTCAAGGAAACCAGCCAGAGACACTGGGGAAAAGTCGGCTCTTGCAGCCCAGTCTTGACAGTTTCCAAAGCACAACTGCATGCCACAGGCTCTGAGAAGTCCTGCAATCAAACAATTGACTGTACTTTCTGACATCCAACAGTCTCCAAATTTAGAGGACCAAGGAATTCATTTTCCCTGAGGATGCCTCTTCAGAAGACACTGCCCCTTCCTCTGTTCCCATGACCCCCTCGTTTCTGTTCAGTGTCCTTCCAGCCCCCTCCCTTCCTGGCCCCTGCCCTGACTCCCCAAGACCTTCACTGGGTTATGTCACACCCACCCTTCCAAGAATGTTTCCCAAGCTGATAAAGAGAGGCCAGGTGGGAAAGAGAAGGTATAGGCCTCACACACGTCCTTCTCGGTTCATTTTTGTGGCTGTTATACCAAAGTGACTATTCCGCAGAGAGTTAGAGGGTACATTAGGGGGAAACCTTCTTAATCCCTAAAGGTCAGGAGAAAGAAGACTCACAGAAGCTTCTCTTTAATTAAGCTTCCTAACACCATGGCTTCCAAAAAGGGAATGTTGGCCCTGAGGCCTGTTACAAAGTATCCCTCCCTGGCCCCCATTCATTCACAGTGACAAATGAGCTGACCCATCTGGGATCTGAATCCTGTGTGCACTTGACCCATGAACTTCGCAAGTGTAGAGTGTGACTAAGTGTCCTTTGGCGGGGGGGGGGGGGGCCT